GCATCAATCACGGGTACTTCAACGTTTTGCAAAGCCAGAAGTTCGACTTATTTATTGCTGCAATTTTGCAAAATGGTATTCTCGCCATGTTTACAAGGAGTGATTGGATGCGTGATTGCAGTGCAGAATGCTGCAAGTTGCCTTATTGGTAATCATTCAAAAAATAACGAAAAGATCTATAAGCACTTTACCTGAAATTTGAAAGCGTTATGAGATTCTAGCGGTGTTATTGAGAAATCTCTTATTTATTATCCGAAAATTGCGAAAACTATCATTATGTATTTCCGACCTTTGGTGCATCTTTTTCTTTTAAAAAAAGTATGCAAAAATATCTGATTTCTTTGTTTTGTCCATTATAGTTCTTGAAGGATCATTGATGTCACATCTACCGGCCATTCAATCGCGAAGAAAAAATCCTGACCGATTTTTTTCGAAAGAATTTCAAGTGGCTATGTACGTTTAAAAATACCGTTGACATCAACTGAACATTGGTTTTTGTTCTTGCAGATGAATTTTATACTCAAAACACTAATTCCCTGCATTATTGCGAAAGACCCCCGCCACGAAAAAATTCGCACAACGAGAATTTATATTGCAAAAAGTGACACCTAGCGAAATTCCCCAGACAGACTCCAAAAAGGTTTAATTTCATAAATGTTACTCGAAATTTCGATATTTTTCCGAAAGCTGAGGAGAGTGAGAAAAATGGGCTCAATTTTACACAATCTAATTGTTTGTATGCATTATCGGAAATTTCAGAAAGTTTCAGAAATTTCAGATATAGCGATATTTTAGCATGATTACCTCAATTACATAATTTTTTAATGCAACATATTTGCCGGAAAAAAATTATAAAGGTTATAGTGATATTTGGCTAATTGGGGCGATATAAATCACTAGCAATGTAATCTAAGTACTGTAGAAAAAAAAACAGAACCTGGAACCAATTTGTTCCCTTACGTGGGGACCCACTGCTGTATACTGCGGGAAAAATTGCAAGGTCGTGATTTTTGGGTTATTACATTTTGTGACCCTTAATTAATACATGTATAGCCTTTGCTGGAAGCTGATCCTTGGAGAGCATCTAAAAGATTTAGTTTCTGTTTAAGAATAGCGTGCTAATAAAACAGCAGAGGTATATACTGTACTGTACTTGATACCTCGAGGGTATACTTGAAAACCTCTGCTTCATCCTAGAAGTAGGTTCTTCCTGTTAATTTAACTGACTGATTCTCTTCGCCATTTTTTTCTTAATTTTAAACATGATTTCCTTCAGTTTACAACTGAAAAAATTTAATCCATTTCTGGACAATTATCCAAAGGAGCAGAATAAGCCTTAAAAATTCCCTTTTTTTCAAAGGATAAGCACACAATTGGGTATTCAAATCATATTATGATTTGAAATTGAAAACATTCAGACAAGTTAATGCTCTTAACTTTCTGAAATTAACGAATTTGACAGACAACAATAAAGAGGCAGAATTATATCCTTATTTTATTTCCCCTTTTCCTCTATTTCTAAAAAATAAATTTGAATTTTTTAGCTCAAGACTTGCTGAGATTTTGGCGGGTTTTTTGTCGTTGCAAAATAATAGCAAAATATGAAACGAATTCATTACAGTACTTGAATCATTTCATCCACCCCACGGGTTGTCTGGGCCTTTTCGTAAAGTTGAAACCCAGAATACAGCAAAATCACATCACAACGAAGCATTGGGTATCAGTAGAATAAACTTCGTTGTAACAAACAAAACAACTCGTCTTGAAAGCAACTCTCTAAAAAGCATGGCAATTGCGCAGGAACCTGCGAAAAAAAAGCGAATTTGTTGTAAGCGGTTATTCATTATAACGAGATTCTACTGCACTGTATTTCCAAACAGCACTGTTCATGCAGGCCCAGCAGGACGAAAAATCGGGGCAACCAGTGGGCCGGACGTGCGGCCAGCAGCAGCAGGAGTCCGGGCCAGCAGTGGCCGCAACCCATCAGCAACCCGACACACCCAATATTTCTTCCACGCCGAGTCATCCCCGACGCATCGGCGGACAAGGTCGGCGCCGCCGGATGAACAGAGAGGCGCCCAATTCTCTATATATCTCTCTCTTTATTTCTTCCCAGCACCAACCTCAAAAAAAAAAAAAAAGAACCCCGACAAATTGACGAAGAGGGGGGTTCTTCGCCATGGGGGTGGCGAAGAGGTTTTCTGGGATAGAATGGAATTTATCTTCACTTCATCGTGAACTTGTTATCCTCTCACTCTCCCCCCTCCTTCTGGAAACTCCTGCTACTTTGGATTGACCTCGTGGGAATGGAGTGACATGACCGGAAACTGACATGCCAGACATTTATATATGTAGAACAATTTTAATTACTCTTGCAACTGATACAAGCGTTACAATTGTGACCATAAGCGAGAAGAAATAGAGTGGTTGTTAGCGTGCCTCGCAATTTTGTCTCGATCCGTTTTTTTTTTTAATTGAATAATTATATCTAGGTTTCCACACAGCCCTTGAAAACTTTCGGAAATGCCAGTGATGAGGGGTCGTGGGGTCTTTCGTGGATTTCTGGGTAACCCGTGGAATAATTAGATTTTCAAACAGTATTATTTGTGATGTTTAATTACCTCAGGAAGGACCTACAGTTTTTAACCCGTATTATATGAAATCTTTTGTACAGTATTCAGAACCGTTTGCTATGCTGATTTTTTATTTTCCTTTGAAAGAAAATTGCCGAATTTCATGGAGAGTTTTCGAGATAACCAATGAGAACAAAAAAACCAAAAGCACGCGATTGAAGATCTCTCGTCAACTGAAGCTTGGAAATTATTTTTAAATTTGAATGTGGTGAATTCCAAAGTAGCTTAGGCTAGAGGAATTCGGTTCGATTTTATATGTATATATCTGTTAGAACGACCATGATTAAAAGAACTTGACAATTAATGTTAGTTAATATAGTTCACATGATCTTCAATTTATGTAATACTTTAGTTGGAGTTTTATGCTTAAGTCTTGCATTGAAAAAAAAGCGACACGCTTTCACCATTTGTTTTTTCAAGGGGTTTAATTGGGATCATTCAAAAAAGTTTCAAATACAGCGGCAGAGATATTGCCTTTAAAAAAAACCTGGAAGAGAAAGCCATTTTTTGTGTTTGTTCTTGGAGAGGTAATTCAAAAAATATAATTTCTAGTACTGTACTTGATTATAGATGGAGACTTAATAATTTTCTTTCTATATTTAATCTTTTTATTCAATCGAAATAACCGTTTTGTTTTGGAATATTTTCTTGAATTTATTCAGATAATCCCATAAATACACACTGTACTCAAAAAGTCACCGAAGAATCACGCGAAAGAATTTTTATAAACGCATCCTCGAATGATTCTCCCGATATTCACAAAGTTGTGAATGAATAAAATGATCGCTGAAACTTCGTTCAACTGAAGGACGAATAATTTCTGAAATCGCTTTCATACTTCACTATTTAACTTTTAGTTACGATTCTCTACAAATCGATTGGCCAATTTTGGTTAAGAAAAATGCGGTTGAAACACTAAACTCGAATTTATACTTAACAACTAATACTAAAGTTCGATACGCGGTGATCAAGTGCGAGGAAATTTGTAAAAACAAACGCAAGTTCTTGTGCTGATGAATCACTAAATTCAGGATCAAACTAAAACTTTCTTCTGACACTGAAACCCTCACGAAGTTGACGAAGTGGTTATAGGTCATATAGGATATATATTTTAGCTCATTTCATAAATTTTAATTACGACAATAGTGGAAATAGCATTATCAATGCAATAATATATATGGATCCTCAAGTGAAAGAACAAAAAGAGATCAGCAGAATTTGAATCGAACCCTCTTTTTCCCCCGAGCCTAATTCTGACAAATTGTTTGAACCGCAGTACCCTCTATATATAGAGATCCATTACTCTTTCCTCCGATTACAATTTTTCCTACTTTTGAATTTGAAAGAATGCGATTCGGTCTCTCAAGGACAGTGTAACGATTTAGTGCATTGACGATCGTTTTAAACGGAAGATGAATAGTATGACGTGATTCATGCGCACCTTAATGGATCCCCGAAAAAAGTTTTTCTCATGAGACTTTTTGAGTCGCTTTTTTCGAAAGAAATTATAATAAAGAAGTTGGAGAAAAAGAAACACAATTCTGATGTCATCTCAAAATCAGGAAGCATTTGGTGTCAGCTGAAAAGTCTTATAAGAGCATGCTTTACTTATTACAGAAAAATGCTAAAATTTATTCAGGCACTCCTAAATCAATAAAGTGATAGAGAGAAAATCATCTTTCTTCCTGAGTATGCCACGATTGATTGACAAATATTGTATTTTAACGGAAAATATGAGTTTTCCTGCGTATATTTATAATTTTCTCATTTCTTNTGTTTTTTTTTTTTTTTTTTTTTTTTTTTTTTTTTTTTTTTACACGCGCAGAACTTTTTTCGACTAAAATGCATCGATGCAAATGCACTGAAAAGTATTTCGATGATATTTTGCCGTAAATACTTCGATATTTTATTTTTTACGGCCGCTTCTTCGTGAAATCCATGTATGCTCTATATCTCTTTATTTCATCTATTTTTTGCATTTTCATTCTATAGCGTTTAAATATAGCAGATTTTGTTGCTGTAGAATTTGGGTTTTCCGGTATATTTGAATATCCCGGCGAAGGCCTTTAGAATTCAGTGCAGATGATGCGAGTTATTCCTGTTTTACCTAGTCTCGCAACGGACATTTCTGAACCAGATGAATAAAAGGTATAATGGCTTAAAAGCTTCAAGTGTCGTGTGTGTACATCAAATGCATGCATTATATTTTGTGCAATACTTCGTATGTGCTGGATGGTGGGGGGAACCCCGTGTTGTATAGGTGTTGCCTTGGCACGGGATCGTTTCTGAAGCCTGTGCTTCGGGCGAGGTTTTTTCTCCTGCCCTGGCACAGTGATCGTAACCGGAGAGGCGGCCGCCGCCCCGCTCGCACTATAAAAGCGGCGCCGAGTGGCGTCCAAACGTCACATCACCTCTCCGGGTTCTTCAGTGAGCATCTACGGTTGAGAGAAGCAAAACTTGTCTTGTGGTTATTTTGAGTGGAAATTTTTTTTTCCTTCCTCGCGAAAAAAATGATCAAGTCTTTGGTGAGTCTCTCGATCTTTCAATATTTCGCTGATATAAGCAGCATAAGAAAATCCGATGCATCGCCGGAGTTTCACTTCAGAAGAAAAAAATATTAACTTGGCAGCGACTATATACTATTGAACCTTCGTCTCATTTTCAACCGAAAAAACAATTTTAAAAATGAAACGAGAATACAAAAAAACACATTTTATTCCAGCTGTTCGAAATTTCACACTTCAGATGTTTAAATTTCGGTTTGCATCGAATTTACCCTTTATTCGAATCCCATCACCGAATATCTGAGCAAGAACAAGAAAGTTTTCCACAATCAGTAGCAGCAGTAGTACGTATCAAAATTTGACTTCCTGATTTCAAACCCTGCAAAAAAAAATCGCACGATATCTCTTGACAACCCCAGCTTTAAAATTTTTCTAGAGAGATGAATAAGAATACAAGCAACAGGAACGAAAGAATATCGTTGTTATTAATGTAAAGTAAGAATCGTATAGAATTTATATTCTGAATAAATATACTATAGTTTTTCTTTCGTTAATTTTTCTCCCAATGCCATTGCATGACCATCAGCTGGAAGCCCAATCGTGCGCTGAAAAATCTTTGATTCCGCTTTTATTTTTCCAAGTCGGTGACAATCGTACAGAAAAATTTTCGAAATCTCTTGAACAATCAAGTTTATATTATGTAGCTTTTCTTTATTTAAAAAAAAGACGTCGTTCGCATAAATCTAGAGCGGAAAAAGCGCTTATGAGCAGAATGAAAATAAAAATCGTATGTAAGTTTTATCCCTTAAAAAAATATTTCGATGCAGAATTTAATCTTTTTTTTAGATACAATAGTGGAAGTCGCTCGCCCGAATTTCAGCTGCTGGCGTTTGCGAAATTTATTTTTTTTAAGACGGATGATTAACTGAAGTTTTCGTTCGTTTCTCCGCTTTGAAATTACAGGCAGCGTTTCTGTTGGTGGCAGCAGTGTGCCACGCGGCGCCCGACAAGCGCCCGCAGCAGTACAGACCGGCGCCACAGCCGCAGCAGTACGCGGCGCCCAAGCCGCGCTACCAGCAACCCGCGCAGGCCGCCTACGTCGCCGCCCCACAGGAAAACAACTACGGATACGCCCCAGCCCCGTCATCCTACAACAAGAAGCCCGTTGCCATCCTGTCCCAGGACTTCAAGCTCGACGATTACGGCTACAAATACAAGTGAGAGAGTTTTCTATATGCTTAAAGTTCGACGATTCTGTTTCGTTTTTGCGTTATTTTTTGAGCGTCTTATACAGCGCTGGGAAAAAATTCGAATTTTATGGATAAAATTAGCTGGAAGACACTCGTCGTGGTTCAAAACTCAGAAAAAGTTGAACGTGTCACCTTTCCTTTAATATGGACTTATGTGCCAAACATGTCCAAATATTCGAATCATGCTACGATTCGTCGCACTCTTTTGAACTTGCTTCAAAACTAAGAAAATATATTGAAATGTCATTAAGATCTTGGTTCAATCATGCTAAAAAAAAGCATATCCTAAATAAGATTCCGATTTCAATCTTTCTTCAAGATTTTCAAAACTGCATTCCATTATTCCCCCGTTAAAAGAACTTTGAAAAATCAACATTGAGCACGCTCTTTAAAACAATTTTGGCATGAAATAAAAATCCTTTCCCATCACACAAAATAATGAATATTGCGTATGATTCCTTGCAAAATAAACGAATCAATGCTTTAATTCAATGCTGCGCAATTAATTTTTTGAAGAAAAAAAAACTGTCAAGTACCAGTAACACTATTTTTCTTTCAAAGAAAACGAAGAACAGATCGGTCATCAGAGATTCCACTCAGTAAATGTCAAAATAACTAAATGATTAGGATAAAAATTTGCCAAGTGTTACTTCTGTACAGTATTTGCTGAATAACTCTAAATATTCGTTTATTTTCCTCATCACACGCGTGGAGAATTGTTTCAATTGTTTTAATGGTACTGCAGTTATTATTGCAAAAATGGTCAAGGAAAGTTTTCGCTGGGTGCCGATTCCCTTCCTTTATTTTACTTTGGTTTGCAAAAGTTAAGCGTTAACTATTAAGTTTATATAGTTTAATTACTGCCAAATTCATTTCTGGACGCTTTCTTAAACGACACAAAATTGCGAAAATATCTTCAGGATGCTTCCAATGGCATGAAAATGGGAATGATGTTCAGAAAATTCCGCGTGTTCATCGACCAGATTTCTTCATATCACTGCGCGTGATTTCCTAATTTTTAATTTCTTAAAATTGTCAGTTGTCTTCCATCTTTTTGAATAATCATCCCAATTTCCGCTAATTTCCGATTCGCCGTCGCAAAAAAATGTAGAGAAGTGTACATGCGGAAGAAGTCATTTGATATTCAGCAAAGATGAATTTCGGATTTGCAAAAGAGCATTTAGACTACTATAGAGCCTCTATATATAGATTGTGGCGATAATAATTTCTTTGGAGTGACAAAAGAAAAAACTTGAAAATCAATTAAAATATTTCTGCGTTTCATCTTCCAAATCTTTAAAAGAGGATCGAATACGGTTTTATCAAAGACTTGAACTCATCTTACCTTTATTTGAAGTATACGGGAATTTCGGAGATTTTTGTTTTGTTTTAATAAATATGAATAATTCGAAATATAGCGAAAAAATTTAGACATCATCCGGTTCATAGAAAATGTTCGACGCATGAGAAAAAAAAACGGAACATTTCGTAATTTCTGAATCGCACAAAAATGTAGCTGCCGAAAGACCTTCACGAAACGGCAGTAGAACACTGACAAATTATTCAAGCGAAGTATTTCCGCAATAATACAGAGAGCGAAAGAAAAGAAAAAATTAAAGCGTTCCTTCTCCAGAGGTTTTTTTAAATAATTTTTTATACTGCGATGTGGTGAATCATGAGTGGGTTTCAAAATTTGACCCTTCATCGCCTCCCACTACTTGAAATTTCAAGCAGTAGCGCAACCGAGTCTCGGAGTAAAATATGCTAAATTTAAAAAACAAGAAAAAAGAAACTTAAGAGGAGCTTGGTCACCAAGGCCGTACTTGCACTGGTATGTCGGCAGACGCCGTCTTCGCACTTCCTACTCCACAATTCCATGCAAAAATATAAATTAAGTACTGTTTGCCGAGAATAACATTGAAAATTTGGAAAGAGTTGGAAACTCGGCGCTTGAAAAGTCCCTCAATAATTTTTCTCCGCGTCCCGGGAGCGGCGTTGTGTCTCACGATTTTTACATTTTTCAGCTCAGTTCTTTCTGTCTTTTCTTTTGAGAGAAAAAAAAAATCGAATACACCCATATTCTAGAAAACAACGTAAAATGGTTGGGAAAATATTCTTCTATCCAATTCTGAACTTATTCCAGTTATATGGAATAATTTCAATATTTGCTCTGATTCGGAGACTAGTATTGGTCACTAAAACTTTTTTGCTTCCAACTTTTTATTTCAAAAACTTTATAGCTATGAGAGCGAGGACTACCAGAAGAAGGAAGAAGTTGGCAAGATCATCCCGGGAACCAAGAAGCAGACCAACTACGGTTACGAAGAGGATGACGGTTCCCTCCAAGTCCAGGGCTCCTTCTCTTACAACGCTCCAGATGGCACCCCAATCTCCTTGAAGTGATTATTCCTTCTTCTTTTGCTATAATTTCATCTTTTTCTCAACATTCATGATCCCCAGTTATCTACCTTGCCTTAATAAAATCGATATTTAGCATAAAAGTGCTGCAAGAGCTAAACTGAACATTTGAGAAAAATGGAGCACCAGAATGCCACCAGCAAAGAAGACAATTCAATGCTTTACGCAAACCCAAATCAGTCTATTAGTCAAAGAGAAATACCCTTATTTTCAACATTAAAACAAGTTTTTTTCACAAGCTTCATTTACATTTTGTATAAAATTTGACCATGTCCAGTGAATCATCCTTTTTCCGTCTTCCCTTTCTGACTAGCCATTCGTAATAATGCTATTGTTTCTGTTGGTGCTCTGTTCAGTCTGAAAACTCTGAATGCATGGCAGGAGTCCTCTGCCAATGACAAAGGAATTATTTAGATGTACAGTATATTTACAATCCTCAGTTGAGCTCTTTGTCCTTTAGATCTCTGTGCATAAGGAATACGAATGCTCTGGGAATATAAAATTTGGTACAGTGCCTTAAATGAAAATGTGGATGTGACATGTGTGTGTTGCAGCTATGAGGCTGACGAGAACGGTTTCCGTCCGTATGGTGCCCACCTCCCCACCGCCCCACCACTTCCTGAGGCTCTTGTCCAAGCCATCCAAGAACACCAACAGGCCGTTGCCGCTTTGTCACAAAAATCCTACGCCCAGGCACCACAGGAGTACCAGCCCGCTGCCAGCTACCAGCGCCCGCAGTACTCCCGCTACCAGCAATAAAAACTCCTCAGGTCTAATACACCGTTGTCGCCCACAGCAACCAGCATCAGTAAAGGTGCGCATGGTGTGCTTGCAGACCATCCGCGCGCGCTCCTGAAGCGAAACTCCTGAATCGTGTTCCCTGGGTTTATATAGTTTCAGAAACTCGTGTCCGTGTATTTATCGTGTTTTTATCTTGAAACCGAACAAAATGGTTCGTTCCGTGTTTTCATCATGTACGCGGCCAAGCCAAGCTTCGCATGGAACTGATTTTGTTACCTAGTCTGTCCCCGACAGATGACCCCCGTTTGAATGTGCGTCGGATCTCAACCTCAGAATTGAAACAAGTATCCCTGTATACAACCATCGCATTTTTCCCCCCAATACGCGTGTTAGGCTTCATCTGCTGGTTACATGGGAAAGCAGTTTCCACTCAGAAAACAGTGAATGGCGTTTGCTATATCCCACACTTGTGCTCATTTATGTACACGTATATTCACTTGTATCACTGTCTAGATGTATTTGTGATGAACGGGACTCTGTGGCGGCGATCGGGAAACGAAGCAATAAATTATTGCGAATGCTTTTGCTCGTAAAAAAAAGATGCCTGGTATTTCATTCACTCTCCAAGCTATTGTGATCCTTGGATCAGTATAATCATCATTTGCTCGTCATGCAGGTTCAACTGCTCTTTTTCCGTATGTGATTCATCTGAGTCAACTGCTGCATGCATCCTTTGATTCCCTCTGAAATATTTTGCTTTCGAATAAAATTAAATTGCACTGATTTTACGGAACTCCCGGAAGAATTTATCGCATCTCGTCGTCCTCGGGTCGCCAGCTTTCCCGGAAATGGGATCGAATTCCTTGCCAGCACGAGTAATAATCGTCGTCCAATTTCCCGCTTCCGTGAAGGGCCCAGGTTGTGACAGCCAAGCTCAGAGATGTTTCAAACATAAATGCCTAAAGTAAATGTTACTAAGAGTCACGGGATTTATTAAAATAAATTTGAAGTGGAAGTACTTGTGTTCCATCTGCTATTCTTTCGGGTCGTAGGAAGCAGTTTGATGCTCCTTCGAAACAAGCCGCGTCTGGACCGTGTGGAGTCATCATGGAATGAAGCGATGCTCCTCCAGGCAGGAATCCCTCTTCCTTAGCCTCGTAATTCCCGTATATGAGCCCCATGAACTCACTCATGCAATTACCTATGAACAGTAAAAATACAACAATACTGTATAGCATCTCAGAATTAATTTCAAAATTCAAGCACATGTTTTGATCAGCGTGCTTTGAACAAGAACAAGCTATAAAATGTTGGCGTTGCCAGCGTCAGTTTCGACTTGAAAAGAAGAAGTGCTGTTGCGAGCAAACTGATTTGCGAGAGGGCATTATCCTCACACCTTTATTACTTATCGAGTCCGAATGTTCATATACTGTGCAATGCTGCATTTCTCGAGGAAGACAAGGATACATTATGGAAATGCAGTAATGTACTGTACTCTGTTCCTTGTGCTGCTGCTGGAAGGGAAAACGCAGGGGTGTCTTGCATGGCTGAATCCAGTAAATGAGAAACCATTTTAAATTGCATTTATAAGTACAGTACCTTTATTCTATGGTCCCTCGTGTAACAATTGCAGATCAGTGAACCTAACGGGAAGAATTATAGTTGGACCTCTTGAATTGAACATCCCCATAAGTCGAAAGCTTGTTTTTTTTTTCTAATCCCAAGCCCTATAGTTTCCCTAACCTCCCTGAATCGAAAACTTCCTGCGTTGAACTTTTGTTGGTGCCTTCAAATTCAGCTTCATAGTTGGAAGAAAGTGAGTGACAACTGTCATGTTTTATTAAGCGTTGTAAATTCCATGACGACCTCGTCCTTCTCGCTAAGTTCCTCGAAATTTGATGCAATTTTGCCAGCGAACGCGTTACATACTCATTTTAATCTGAAACCGGAGATTGTGTTTGCATAACTCATCTCCATTTGAATCTTACTTCAAGAACTTCATTTTCGGTCATTATCCTAGAATGCTTAGGGCTCACATGCAAATTTTGACCAATGATTGATTTTAGGATTTCTTGATGACCGACACTCGTGATGCAATAATAAAATTGCCTCCTTCAATGACGGCATTCCTGCTGTGGGGTATCTATCATCTTTTCTTTCGCCTTGAAGTGACACTTTAATGGGTTGGTTTCATTCAATATAATTCCTCGAATTGATGGGGATGAGTTATTGCATTCAATAATGCGGATTCATCCTTCGTTGGATGTTGAACACCATCGATATTTCGAAATGTACCATGATTTTTCAGAACCGAGTTTTGTGAAGGAATGCGTGTCTTGTTTTTCAGTGATGGAAGGTATAGTGAAAAGTCGCGATTTCGACATGCCTGTTCAGTGCATCTCATAATTCTCAATCAAATAATGTAACTCACGGTGATAGTAAGGAGGCCGGAAAGTGTGTTGTTGAACTGACCAACGAGGCGGGAAGATCACGAAATCTGCGATCGCAACTCCGGGTTTCGTCGATGGACAAGTGAGTACCGTGAAAATCGACGGGTCCTGTACACGTGCATAAGGATGAGAAAAACATTTCCAATGCGACAACCCATAAATTTATTTTCATCTCCATGTTTGTGGAGGCGCATCTTATTCTTGCGATGAGACTCACGCAGTGATCGAACGATACGGAATTGATCACCACGAACTTTGCCAGGTCGTACTTGTACGGTACGTAGTTGCCATGCCAGGCTACCGCGTCGAAGGGACTGTGACCTTGCGTGGCTTGGAATAATTGTCCTTGGAACTTGCTCACCACTGCGAAATCTGCCTCAATGTCTTCAAATTTTGCCATCGGCGTGAGGAAGTCTCTCGGTTGCGCCAGGCCATTCGATCCTTAGATTATTCGAAATGCACAAATGGCAGAAGTTGTATCATGCTGTGCTATATAATACAGTACCGATAGCGAATAAAAAAATGGTCTCGGATTTCGAGTTAATCTAGTTTCTAGCTCACGGTCTGTCCTGTATGTAAGTTCATCAAACTTAACCTTGGTTACTAATACAAGATTTCTTTCAGGAAGTGTGAATCTTTTGCTTTCTTTGTTGAGTCTGGTGGGATGAAGGAGGTTTTTGCAGCTCAATAAAATATTTTATTATTATTGAAGAAAGGTCAACCTATCTTTTGTTTGAGCTATTTCTTCACCTCGGTGAGTTTACGGGAGTACATTAAAATCTGAAATTAAGTTTTCGGAAGCATTATTTCGTATCTTCATAGGTTTATCTGGAAAGTTTCAGACTTAAGACGAGTTTTCAAGTATTGATCGTGCAGCACCTGGAACCGGCTCTAAAATAATTTTGAAATTCTCTACATTTGGACCATTGTCCTAGTAATGTTATTGACATTTTTGTCTAAAAAAATATTTAACAAACCTATGGGACCTAGATTCGGGAGCTGGAAGTGTCCGTCGAATATTTCCAGCACGTATCCTCGGGATGGTTCCTCGATGCTGACGCTGAACTTCATCCCTTGCTAAAATAAAAATAAAAACGGATGTTGACTCGGAAAAAACCTTTTTTAATTTTAATGCATGCTGTATTATACTGTACCTGAATTACGCAGATTTCGTTGGGGGAAACGACCATCTTCCCAAATTCAGTTGTAATTCTCAGTTCTCCTTTTTGTGGCACTGTGGAAGAAATTTGCTGGAAGATTTATGCATGCAGTTAAATCTCAACGATTTTGTGAACTTATTTTTGTTTTATAAGATCTTATGCTATCAATTTGAGAAGGATAATACTGTGTCTCGCCGAGAATTTACAATGATCATAATTTCAATCATCATCCTAGTTTTTTGTTTAAATTTTTACTTGTTCGGACGTCACTTGAAAAATTCGCTTGTAATTTGCAGGCACTCAATTGCACCGATGGACTGATCAAAAAATGGTGAAACTTCGCTAATAGAAACAATTTAACAAAAAATCAAAGCTTTTGATAAGCACGCGAAGAATAACCATTATTGCACCATTTCAAAAATGGGTGCGACGTTCTTGATTTTTTTCTTCTTTTATGATACTGTACTGTACTGCACAATATTAACAAAATCAGGGGATGATGTCTTGCAGTTTAATATTGGCAGAAGTGAGTGAAATTTTTTTTTAACATTCAAGATGAACAAAGACTATTTTTGCTTCATCCTGCGATTCTGAAGTGCGTGAAATTTAATTTAAATGCTTCAATCATCGTGGAAACGAGACAAATAAGTACGAACCAACTCATGAACTTTCGCATAAAATTAATTTCATCATCATCCCTAATCCAAATTTGATCTTCATTGTTCTTCAGTCAAATTTCAAGCTAGAGTAATTTTCAATTTTCACTTATGTTATTGAATTTTAAAAATTAAACTTCGTTGTAGTGGCCGATTCAGCAGAATGTATGAACATTAGTTAAAATCCGTTCAATGAAAGCGTTTCTAACCACGAAAAAGTTCTTAGTGTAAAATCTCCGGAAGAGATAATTTATTTTCAGATTTAATTATGACTGAAAAAATCCTTATGTTGCCTAACTCTGAGTTGCTGTCTATCAAAGTGAGAGAAGGAACTTTTTTCATTCGAGAACGAGATACTTTCACCAGAACTCGCTTGCTCTGGGATTTTTCCTCCGTTATAATATACAATATACAGTATATATACAGTATATATACAGTATATATACAGTATATATATATAATATTTTTTTTTTTTTAAGGAAATGTTTGTTTATATTGCTGCTGTCATTTGATTTGATTTCAAAGCATGAGATGAACTTTGAAGCGATGGCTTTTGAGATTACCAATGAGGAAGTCCCCGTCGGAATTGTACATGCATCTATTGATCATGGACGCGTTGCAGCAGTAGACGTACACGCAGACGCCGTTTCTGGTCCTGGGGTCGCCGGCGCCACAAATAGTATTCAGGCCGTCCACGAAGTCAACTGCTGAGCTCACGGGCAGGTCGAAAGGCGCCCATCGTAACTAAAACCAGGAAAAGGTGGTCCCAATTTTATCATGAACATCGGTTCATTAATTTTCGCGAATGGACTGAATTCTTTGTAAAGTCTTTAGATATTTAAGTGATCGCTTCATGTTTTTATACGGTACAGTTAAATTGTGTTGATTGATGGAAGCGGGAGCTCATCGAGATCTCGATTAATTCACGTGACGAAGGAAAATGGTCCCAATTTTTGATGAACATCAACTCATTCAATTTCCGAAATCTCCAGAAATTCGAGGAAAAAAGGCAGATACAATTAAAAGACCTGGTTCAAGCTCACACACATTCTGGAAATCTTTGCAGAACCGAATGTAACCGTAGTTCTCAAATGATGAAATTAAAACGACATAGTTTTGGAGAGTGGCAGACATAATTGGAACTTTAATAAGAAATAAATCAGAGAGGATTTAAAAATGCGAGTGTTGCCGAATTTTTGGAATTCAGTGACATGGGGAGCATTTTTAACTAATTTCGGGTTTGGTTCATTTGCTTCTTTTTCGGTAGACCCATAATTTTGAAAATTTCATATCAGATCAATCGGTATGTACTATCAACAAGTTGATTGAGAATCAATAAAGATGTTCTTAAATATTTTTAACCGCGAACTGTAACATTTTGCCCAATTATTTTTAGTGCACTTGAAATATAATTTAAAATGGCATGTCAATCCGGCCCCTGGATTTCAGAAAAAGAAAATGATCATCCCGCAAGCGTGCTTTGATATGGCGTCTTTGTGAAATTCTGTTTTGGTTCCAACTTTTTTTCAAAATTTTTAAGATCTCGGTTATGTGTTTCTAGTTTAAACCCTCATTTTTGAAAAACATTTTTACTCTACCTGATTCGGAGTGACATCTTGCGAGCCCCAGTCGTGAGTGATGTTTCTTCGTGGCAGTTTCCGGAATGGTGAATGGACTACCGAAGGCCGGATCCGATAAAACCAAGTCCTTCTGTTCGTCTCCCTGGGGCACGTGAAAGCCGATCCTGCAATTTTCAATAAGCTAACATATTTACACCTTTGATTATTAGTAATTCTTTCAAAATCGATTTTCAACGAGTCGAGAAATATTCTGATGATTTGTACAACAGGAGTGTGATTTTGTTCTAGTCCGCGATGCGATCTGCTTTCTGCTGAAGGTTTATTGGTTTAGTTATTATATTTCTGGACTCCGTGACGCGCTGAAATTTATTCGAACGATAACTTCAACTGTTCATAGCGTAGGAGAGTAAGTTAGAAACTATCAAACTTCGAAATTGAGATTCAAAACGCTTAGCCTAACATAGATGGCCAGATTTGAATAACTTGCAACCAAGGACTGGACCCGTGAAGGACAAGAAACACGCTATATTAAAAAGAAACTCATTGCAAATGTAATTTAGATGACACTTCCATGCCAAGCTCGTTTCAAAATCACAATTTAAGATTGACAGAAAATGTTTCAACGACGTGTTCTGCAGCTGTTAAGCTTCGCAAAATCGTCCTTAACATAATCTCTCTTTTTATGTTATTTCATGTTGAGATGAACGGATTCCAAATACTCGTCCCGCGGAATCGCAAAAAATCTGGAAAGTCTTCTCCAATTGGATAAAGGTCAATTTTTGTGACTTGTTCCTGGAAATATCTCCAATGCATAATGAACCCTTTGCGCCAATTTTCAGAATTTTAAACCTGCGTTCAGTTTTATCATCTCATTATTCCGGGAAAAAGATTACTACGAGAATCGATGTGCTACAGTCACATCGAATATTCTGCGATCCGTCGAATTATGAAGCCTTCGAACTGAATTATGAGTCATTATGACTGTGATCGGTTTTGTGAGCGCTGGAGTGAAAATCAATGTCGACCTTGGTCAGGAAATATTATTCATGGAACAAAGATGAGTTATTTGTTATCTCCAGATCGATTAGCATACATTTTTCACAGGCACTGTTTTTAATCCCCTTGACAATAAGTAAAATAAATACTGAACTGCTGATGAGTGTCGAGTCTGTCGACTGGTGATATTTTTGGTTACACAATCTCTGCAGCATGTAATGTATCGACAAATCGTATTTTATTTACAATAGGTGTGACGCGAAATTAATTGTACTGTTGATGAAAGCGTCACTCAGCATAATTTGACGTTGACGATACATTATTTCTATACACATACTGTATTTTCTATTTGACGTTAACAATACATTATTTCTATATACATATTTTCTATTTGACGTTGACAATACAGTGTGACCCCCAGATGCGGATATAATTGGTGCATCAGGAGTGCCCCTATGTTGAATTGTCTGTAAGTCAAGTCTTGTTTTCCCATAGACTTACATTTTATAATTTTTAATTGGTGTTTTATGGAAGAAATATTCTTCAGAATTCCATGAAAACATTTTGTTTGCCACTTGAATTTGATTCAGTGAATATCTTTTCAACCCTGTAAGAATATTNTACATGCATCTATTGATCATGGACGCGTTGCAGCAGTAGACGTACACGCAGACGCCGTTTCTGGTCCTGGGGTCGCCGGCGCCACAAATAGTATTCAGGCCGTCCACGAAGTCAACTGCTGAGCTCACGGGCAGGTCGAAAGGCGCCCATCGTAACTAAAACCAGGAAAAGGTGGTCCCAATTTTTCATGAACATCGGTTCATTAATTTTCGCGAATGGACTGAATTCTTTGTAAAGTCTTTGGATATTTAAGTGATCGCTTCATGTTTTTATACGGTACAGTTAAATTGTGTTGATTGATGGAAGCGGGAGCTCATCGAGATCTCGATTAATTCACGTAACGAAGGAAAATGGTCCCAATTTTTGATGAACATCAACTTATTCAATTTCCGCGAGCGGACCGAAATCTCCAGAAATTCGAGGAAAAAAGGAAGATGCAACTAAAAGACCTGGTTCAAGCTCACACGCATTCTGGAAATCTTTGCCGAACCAAATATAACCGTAGTTCTCGAATGATTAAATTTTAAAAAAGATGTAGTTTTGGAGAGTGGCAGGCATAATTGGAACTGTAATGGGAAATCAATAAGAGAGGATTTAAAAATTCGAGTGTTGCCCAATTTTTGGAATTCAGTGACATGGGAGCATTGTATACTAATTTCGGGTTGTGTTAATTTGCTTCTTTTTCGGTAGACCCATAATTTTGAAAATTTCATATCAGATCAATCGGTATGTGCAATCAACAAGTTGATCGAGAATCAATAAAGATGTTCGTAAATCTTTCTAAACGTGAAAGGTAACATTTTGTCCAATTATTTTTAGTGCACTTGAAAAATAATTCAAAATGTCACGTCAATCCGGCCCCTGGATTCCAGGAAAGAAAACGATCATCCCGCAAGCGGGCTTTGATATGGCGTCTTTGTAAAATTCTGTTGTGGTTCCAACTTTTTTCAAAATTTTTAAGATCTCAGTTCGGTGTTTCTTGTTTAAAAAAAAATTTTTTACTCTACCTGATTCGGAGTGACATCTTGCGAGCCCCAGTCGTGAGTGATGTTTCTTCGTGGCAGTTTCCGGAATGGTGAATGGACTACCGAAGGCCGGATCCGATAAAACCAAGTCCTTCTGTTCGTCTCCCTGGGGCATGTAAAAGCCGATCCTGCAATTTTCAATACGCAAACATGTTTCACACCTGTGATTCCTAGTAATTCTTTCAAAATCGATTTTTAACGATTCGAGAAATATTCAGGCAATTTGTAAAACAGTAGTGCGATTTTGTTTTAGTCCACGATGCGATCTGCTTTCTGTTGAAGGTTTATTGGTTTAGTTATTAAATTTCTGGACTCCGTGACGCGCTGAAATTTATTCGAAAAATAACTTCAACTGTTCATAGCGTAGGAGAGTAAGTTAGAAACTATCAAACTTCGAAATTGAGATTAAAAACGCATAATCTAACATGAATGGCCGGATTTGAATAATTTGCAACTAAGGACTGGACCCGTGAAGAACAAGAAACACGCTATATTAAAAAGAAACTCATTTCAAATGTAATTTAGATGACAATTCCATGCCAAGCTCGTTTTAAAATCACAATTTAAGATTGACAGAAAATGTTTCAATGACGTGATCTGCAGCTGTTAACCTTCGCAAAATCGTCCTTAACATAATCTCTCTTTTTATGTTATTTCATGTTGAGATAAACGGATTTCAAATATTCATCCCGTGGAATCACGAAAAATCTCGAAAGTCTTCTCCAATTGGATAAAAGTCAATTTTTGTGACTGGTTCCTCGAAATAGAACCCTTCGCGCCAATTTTCAGAATTTTAAACCTGCGTTCAGTTTTCTCATCTCTTTATGCCTGGATAAAAATCACTGCGAGAATCGATATGCTAGTCACCCGAGAAAGGTCGAATATTCTGCGATCCGTCGAAGTTTGAAGGCTTCATTGACTTAATACTCAGTAATACTGACACTAGCCAAAACACTCGCGACCTCACTTTTAGTTACAGCTGGAACCAGTCCTTTATAATAAGTACCTTGTTTCTACTCAATAAACAATAGAGGTCTAGCTATAGCATACATTTTTCACAGGCACTGTTTTTAATCCCCTTGACAATAAGTAAAATAAATACTGAACTGCTGATGAGTGTCGAGTCTGTCGACTGGTGATATTTTTGGTTACACAATCTCTGCAGCATTTAATGGATCGACAAATTGTATTTTATATATAATAGGTGTGACGCGAAATTAATTGTACTGGTGATGAATCGCAGTGAGTCGTATTAAACTGCAACTGCTATGTAATAAAGATATGTGTATGACATAAAAGATAAACTGCAATTGTTATGTAATAAAGATATATGTATAAAAGATAAACTGCAACTGTTATGTCACAGACCCCCAGATGCGGATATAATTGGTGCATCAGGAGTGTCCCTATGTTGAATTGTCTGTAAGTCAAGTCTTGTTTTCCCATAGACATACATTGTATAATTTTTAATTGGTGTTTTATGGAAGAAATATTCTTCAGAATTCCATGAAAACATTTTGTTTGCCACTTGAATTTGATTCAGTGAATATCTTTTCAACCCTGTAAGAATATTTGGAGCATTGAATAGTATACCGCTGTACAGTTCATTGAAATGTTGGCATCTGTAAAAATAATATCAAAGTCACAAAGAGAGGAGGATGTCCATCTGTGTTATAGGTTTTTTTTTAATTAGCTGAATGGATGGGAAAAGTACCGAAGGATTTTTCTGGCATAGTTCTTAGGGTTGGAAATATCTGTTTCTTGCAATTGAGCTGAATAAAAATCAATTTTTCTAAAAATATTTGTCAATTTTATCCCGCAATGTTCTCATGCCAAGTCAGTGTCCATATGTTGGGCCTTTTTAATGATTTTTTTATTGAAAAATGAATGTCCCCATGTTGAGGTGTCTGCATGTGGGGTCTCACTGTACTTTTAAAGCAATTTAATTTCCCAAAAAAAATTCCCTGCATTTTTATGGACTGGATTCTATAGTCCTCACCTGCAAGTTTTGGAAAATATCTGGCATTTTTCGTCAGTTTTCATGTACTGTAAATTTTGATTTTATTGTCGCATTGCATGAAAATTGTTTTGCACGCACCAGACGCATGCATTATTTCTTTCAATGGAACATAAAACAGTTGGTAATCCTATGTCAGATTGAAGTCAATTTCGCTTTTCGCAAAAGAGTCATGAAACAAAATATAAAACCTGTACGACCACTTACGCAATGACAATTCACCTCAATGTTGAATGACTCCTATTTCATCCGCATCATGAAAGCTCATTCTTCAAGTTTTCAAACTTGATTTTGATCTGCAATTATGTATGCTTCAAGCTTTACGTTCGACTCTCGAAATGCGATACAAGTTTAATACATGTGGGAAAATAAATGGAGTTGCAATGAAGGACAGAAATGAACTGAGTTCACGTGACTATACCTCCCCCCCCCACCCCCCCCCCCCCCCCCCCCCCCCCC